CCCCCCCCCCCCCCCTCCCATCCAAATTTTCGTAAAAATGAGCTATCTCCCTTAGTTACGGAGATATTTTTGAAAAAGTCACCGACTCAATTTTCCGAATGGAAGCATTGTATTGCTCAAAATTGTTAATTAACTAATTCTCGGCTCAGAAATTAGAATATGATGTTTTTAGAGCAGGTCCGGATGTATGTATGTATGTGTATGTCTGTGACCGATTCCGTCTTGCCACGGTAACTAAAAAAATAATTGTCCAAATCGATTGAATTTGTGATAGAAACATTCATATTCATGTTATCCAGGCCGAGTTCGAACATGGTCTCGGTGCAATTATCAGTTTTCGAATTATAGCCAAAAAACCATGCGCCAACATTGGACCAACCTTGCAGCAACCTTAGATTAACATCGCACCAATCTTGCGCCAACTTTGCGCCCACCTTGCACCAACCTAGCGTCAATCTTAGACTAATATTGTTTTATTCTATGGGGGTCTCATGAGAATCTTATGGGGTCTTGTGGATTTTATGGGGGTCTTATATCCATTCGAACGCATATTGCTAATTTATTAGCAAAAGCAGGTACAATAATTGATGAAAATTGAAAGCAATATCCCACTTATTTTTCTTCCTTTTCATTGTTATCACGAAACAGTAACTCTTAATTCGCGACCAGACCCGAACTTCTATGCACGAATTCGATGAGGTCGCTGTTAGTGAATCTCAATCTCTTTGAGAAATTGCATAGAATATTATGAATTCTCACGTTGTATTATGGATTCTCACGTTGATGGGCAGGTTTTCCTATGTTGCACCTTCGGATGATAGTTTTTCAAAATTAATTAAGGGGAGACTACTATGAGTTTTAAAAGTCGCGGACCATTGGAATATGATTTCAGATATTAAGATTAAGAAAAAAAAAATTGTTAATTGCTTGTTTGCCCCGCAGATGCTTTAAATATTAAAAATAGTCCAGGGCCTCCAATTTTCGAGCTACAGAGGTCTTTCTTTCAAATTTTTTGAAAAAATGTTTACAATAACAATTACGAATTAGTTTTTTGAAATACGACTCTTACATAGCTATTTTGTTTTTTTAAATAAAAAATTGCACCATTCATGTAAAATAGTCCATAAAATGTTTCTGAAAGAATCGAAAATATATTTTAAATATTATGAGGATATTTTTTTTGCCTATTTTACATGAATGGCGCAATCTTTATAAACCACCTGCTTATGATTGAAAAAATTCAAAATATCCCGCCGGAGCATCATCAATAGTGTCTCCCCCTCTATGATCTCCACTCAACTAAATTCCGCTCAGAGCACACTGTCCGCCATTGAACGAATGTTGACTGTAGCAGCGCGGTGATAGGTGTTTACGCGGTACGCGGCTGAAACCTCTGTTCCCGTGCCTGCGAACACCGAAAAAAACATCCGCCAGAGAGTAAAAAAAACGAATCTCCTATCGATTGAAGTGTTTTAAAACATTAACAACAGTTGAGACACAATCAACAGTAAAGTCTATCGTGTTGGCGGTATTTTTGTTATTTAAAAACGTATAATTAAAAACGGTTTATCTAAGCATGAGTGGTAGCGACGAGACGGATAGTCAGTGCGACAGGACAAGTGAAACAAACGGTGTTACAATGGGTGACGTCCTGGCTAAGGAGCCCCATGATAATGATTCACAAGACGACAGTAATGAGTCTGATGATGATCCAATGGCTCAGGATCAACGACAACAAGATGATGGTGCACCTGATGCCCTTGACGTTGTCCCTGAGAATTTTTTATTCGAGCCAGTACAAATGGTTAGTTCGTTTGACCCTTTCGCTTTCTCCTTCATTCTTTCTTCTCACTCTTTTTTCCTTGTTTTTCATTCCACATTCTCACATTCTTTTGTTGCGAGTTTACATTCAACAATGATTTTTTGATTGTTTATTGTATGTTAAGGGAGGCGTCGAGAACGTAATTTCGGCTTATGAGCAGAGGCTAAATGCATCGCCAATGTTCGATAAAAAACCCATTGTGAGACATCCAGAAAATTGTTCCTGTGAATCCTGCACTGTTCAGAGGTTTTTATTCATTTACTTGAATTTGTGGTGGATCAGGGAAGGAAGGGAGCTAAAAAAATTTGCACTATTGATTTACAGATATTTTTCAACTTAAAAAATTTGGAGACAGATATCAAGACAATTTTTTTTTCATTTGTAATTCCTATAGTCGTATCAGTCCTCAAGATATTTGGAGAAAAATCTATTCGTGAAATATTAGCTTATGGATAAATTTGCAGTTATTATTGCAAATATCTGTGAAATCGGAGCTGCAAGAAAATCTTTCTATTAGTTCGTATATTTCGCAATGCTGTCAAGGAGTTGAAAATTCACAGGAAAATATTGTACAGTAGGTTTACAGAAAAATACCTAAAGACCCTTTTTGGAGGTCATGGGAAGGCCTACAAGGATTCTTCAATCAATTACTCTAATTTTGTTATTTTTAAATATGTGCACAATTATCTGTACGTGAATTATTACTATATTAGTTTTGTTGCCAACTATGAAAGTAATGAGTTTACTGAAAGAAAGCAAGAGACCTCTTTTGTAGACCGCCGAATTCTTTATGAGAATAATCTGTTGAAAAATTCCTTCAAACCTTTTTATTCTATAAATGTATGTAAATTAAAGTTGTAAATTAATTTTGAAGTGGTTCACTTCCATCACTTCACCACAAGAATAAGTATAAATATTGTTGATTGTATTAATCATTGCACTAATTCCAAAACAGAGCATTCTTGAAGGAAAAAATGGAAACAATATGGAGGTGGCAATCTCAAGGATTAAAGCTGAGGGCATACATACGCTCTGTGTTCAATGCGGCCATCGAGTCTCCATATGTTAATAAAATTTCAAAGTATCAGTGTGATCCTCAAGAGTATGCTGAGCTACAGCAAATTGTCGAAGAGTAAGTCTCGGATATGCAGTAAAATTCCAACGTCCGGAAAAACCGGTTATACATTTTCTACTTTTATTTTATACAGATTGTCGAGGGATCACCCACATAAACTATTCCTGATGCTAGTGGTGCAAGCTCAGGAGTTTGTGGTTGAGCTCAAGATTAGAATAATGGACCCCGTGCGAGACAACAGCCTCGCAAGGATAGCTGAAGTATTTCTCACGAGTGAGTGAACAATCAATCAGACAAAAAAGGGTCTAGTCAGATAAGCATGATGAATCTGCCCCAGCGAATTTCACTGTGATAATTTTTTTCACATATTCATCATTTGAGACAACAATTTTGTGCAAGATTTCAGATGATTATATTGATTCCCTTTCAATTGTAATGGTGAAAAAACTATTTTTATTTTCAATTTAATTTTTTCTTGCGTACTTGAACGTTACCTAAAAATCTGAAAAAATTTTCAAAAATCAAAAACACCTTAGAATTGAAGAAGAAATTTTTTGTTTTATTTTTTATTATTAAATTAGATTTTTGATTGGCTCTTCTTTCTTTTAAACAATCATTCTTATAAGTATAGTACCACAATTCCCGACATTTTGAGAAAAAAAAGTTTGAAAATTCCACCTGCAACATTAAAAAAAAAATAGAAACGATGAATTTTTGCATTTTTCATAGGAAATTCTTTCATGAATCACCTCTAGGAGTCTGTTACTTGATCCTTATGACCAGCCTACTAATGTGACATATCATAATTGTGTGAGAGAGTAACCATAGGGAAAAATGAAAAATATGATGAGATTTTGAATCAAAATCAAACTTTCATTTGAATTTCGGTTTCTATCAAATATGGGTTCGAAAAGCTTTGCAGAAATCAGTCAAATAAACGTCAAACATCGTGAAATCACTATCATGAGGCAACTATTATAGCTCAAAAATGAAAAAATGAAAATAAAAAAAAACGAGGGCCAATCAGATTTTGTACGAGCTGTGCATCGAAAATCGTCACTGGGATCGAGCGAATACATTATCACACTCATAATTCTTTGTATAGAGTGTATAATTCCATTTGTTGCTATTAATACTTCTCGGTGAATTAGGGTGGATTGTCAGTCATCAATTCCGAATGGCTTTGAGCGATGTGACGATGTAGCAAACAGTTTTTAATACATGATCGAATAGGTGAATACGTGAGGAAAATATTCAACCCAATTGCTTTATTCCAGCATCAGAACAAATCCAGAATGTTTCAAGTTTAAACCCTCATCTCCTGGTGAAAGGTGAGGGAAAAAATATTCAATAAATAAAAGCAAAATTATCACACTAGCTCTTTGATTAATTTTTTTTTAATAAAAGTTTTTAAGGGAGGATTTCTATAGGAATCGTGAGATGTCCCTGTACATATTCAAGCAGTGAAATCTAGGTAGTTAATTGATGTTACTCCGTGGATGTTCTTTTTGGTTGGAAAAGGAAAATTGAATTGGAGATTTTGATCCTCTTCTCTGAGAGCACAAGTTCGAGGGAGGGTATTTTTCGAGAATTATTTCGTGGGCATTCCTGACAATATTCAACGAAGACCTAAATTACCAGGTGAAATTTTCAGAGAAGTGCTTCCTCAATGAAATAACAAGGCTACAAATATGACAAGCGTCTTGGATTCGGTCCTCCTGAGTATATTTTTATTTGTTTTGCTCATTTTTGTAAATATAATTTGACTTACCCGCTACCGTTTACCCTATATGATTTTCTTTTCCTTTCGTTCATTTTGTTTCTCTTCCATTTGATCCTTATATTTTGGCCCTCCTGATCATATTGCCTTTCATTTGTCTGCTCATCTTCACTGATTTTCACTGTGAAGTAAGTGTAAACCCAACTTGTGAATTTTAATGGAGAAAATCAATCTAATCTTTTGAGAATAGAGGATTTGATTTGCAATATCTAGTCAATTATGTTTGACTCTTAATTGATCCCTACTGTTTGATCAATTTGATTTCTTCGACGATTTCTGAACCTGAATGTGATGGAAATCGAAATTTAAATGAGTCTCATTTTGCTTCAGGGTTTCATCATACCCTGCATTCCATTTTGTCCCGGGGACGCACTCTGATAGAAATATGATATGTCACAATACTAAGCCAGTCATAATGATTAATTAACAGACCCAAAGAATTGATTCGTGAAAGGATTTTCAGTGAAAAATGCAAAAATTCACCGTTCTTATTTTTTTTTAATGTGTTGCCGATGGAATTTTGGAACTTTTTTTTCTTACAATGTAGAGAATGGAGAATCTCGTCAATATTTGTCAATATTTGTCAAAGTAGTAGAAAAATTTATACCTATCAGAATGATTTTTGAAATGAAAAAAGAGCCAATTAAAAATATAGTTCAGCAATAAAAACTGAAACACAACATTTTTTCTCCAAATGTAAGATGTTTTTGATTTTTCAGATTTTTTTCAGATTTTTAGTTGACTTGTAAGTACGCAAAAAAATAGGATTAAAACTGTTGTTAACCATTAAAATTCAGAAAAACAATATAATGATCTGAAATTTTGCACCGGATTGTTTTCTTTTGGTGATAAATACGTGAAAAAATTCCCGCATTGAAATTCGCGATGTGAGGGCGGGAGATTCATCATGTCTATCCGGCTAGATCCTTTCCATAAGAAAGATTTCTTGACAATCCTTCCTACAATTAAACACACATTTACACACGGTTTAACTCAATATTGTAGATAATTGTTATTTCAACAAGCAGTTGACTGCTCTTATATTGTGGAAGGCATGTGACTGTTACTTTATGTGTTATTTATATTTTAATTTTTTATTTCTACCAATTCCATTGGTAGTAAGCTTCCGAATGGATCCATAGCAATTCCCTTTTTCAGGAGAAACTATTTTGTCACGTCACATGCCTATCCCAATTTTTCTTCAAGTTATTATGCGAACAAAGAATTTAGGAAACACCAAAAATGTAAAATTGCTTATACGGAGTTGATTAATTGAAATGAATCTCCAAAACTTTGTATAAACGGGTACATATATTTTGATTGACCTAGATAGAAGACATCGAGACGAGTATTTTGAGAAAAAAAATTAAATCGATCAAGCAGTTTTTGAGATATTGACCAATATAGTTTTATACAAAAGGTTGAATATCTCTGGAACTACTGGACCGATATCGCTCAGCCAAAATACCAATCTTTGATGTTATGGGAGTTACAATGATACCAAATTTCAATCTTCTATCTCAATTTCTTGTTGAGTTATCGCGCGTACAAAGAATTTAAGGAAAAAATGGAAAATCGGCAATATCTCGAAAACTTTTAGATAGAAGACATCGAGACGAGTATTTTGAAAATAAAATGAAATCGGTCAAGTAGTTTTTGAGATATTGACCAATATAGTTTTATACAAATGGTTGAATGTCTCTGGAACTACTGCACCGATATCGCTCAGCCAAAATACCAACCTTTGGTGTTATGGGAGCTACAATGATACCAAATTTCAATCTTCTATCTCAATTTCTTGTCGAGTTATCGCGCGTACAAAGAATTTAAGGAAAAAATGGAAAATCGGCAATATCTCGAAAACTTTTAGATAGAAGACATCGAGACGAGTATTTTGAAAATAAAATGAAATCGGTCAAGTAGTTTTTGAGATATTGACCAATATAGTTTTATACAAATGGTTGAATGTCTCTGGAACTACTGCACCGATATCGCTCAGCCAAAATACCAACCTTTGGTGTTATGGGAGCTACAATGATACCAAATTTCAATCTTCTATCTCAATTTCTTGTCGAGTTATCGCGCGTACAAAGAATTTAAGGAAAAAATGGAAAATCGGCAATATCTCGAAAACTTTTAGATAGAAGACATCGAGACGAGTATTTTGAAAATAAAATGAAATCGGTCAAGTAGTTTTTGAGATATTGACCAATATAGTTTTATACAAATGGTTGAATGTCTCTGGAACTACTGCACCGATATCGCTCAGCCAAAATACCAACCTTTGGTGTTATGGGAGCTACAATGATACCAAATTTCAATCTTCTATCTCAATTTCTTGTCGAGTTATCGCGCGTACAAAGAATTTAAGGAAAAAATGGAAAATCGGCAATATCTCGAAAACTTTTAGATAGAAGACATCGAGACGAGTATTTTGAAAATAAAATGAAATCGGTCAAGTAGTTTTTGAGATATTGACCAATATAGTTTTATACAAAAAGTTAAATATCTCAGGAACTACTGAACCGATCGGGCAGAAACTGTGCATCAAACTCGAGCTTAATAGTACCTAGTATGAGTCATAATTTCACGTCCATATCAATGAATTTTCCCGTATTAATGTTATATTTTCTAAAAAGTGGTAACTCAAAAACCGAACTATCAGACCGGGACATACATACATTTTCTAAAAACATAATTTCTTCACCTTTCATACCATTCTACATCATTTCCAAGCAAAATTAGAGAATGTCAAAATCCGACGAATACCGTGGAGCTAGGAGTATCGGGACATCTAAGAATTTTTCGACGGCAAAACACGTTAATTTCATAAGCCAAGTCGGAAATAAATAAATTGAACGAATGGAAAGTGATTCTGATCATGTTTCGAACAAAAGGAAGTCAAATAGTTGTGGAAATTATTTATAATTAAATTAATATTGGCATAAATATATTAAGTCTCTGAAGCAGTAGTATCTGGACACCAAAATGCACCTGGATGCAGTATCCGGACAAGTGAGGGTGCAGTATCTGGACAGTATGGTTTTCTGTACGCGTACTGCCAAATAATTGATACAATTTGATAAGTTTGAACATTTATTGGATAAATGGTTGCAAAACAGAACTCCATATAAAAATTTGTGAAAATTAATGTAACATAATTATTTGCGATTTATTTTTTTAATAGTTTTCTTTCAACTGGTTTTTTTATTTTCCCCCTACAATATACAATTAATGGATTAACAGAGGTGATATCGATTCACCTCTCACATTCAACAAGAAATGTCAGACAGCAAAAGTTTACATTGAGGTTACAATGGGTACAAAACAAGTGTCCGTCTACTGCATCAGATTGCTTTGCAACTGATGCAGTACCTGGACACGTGATTTTTCTTATTTGCGGGTATTTTAAAGTGTTCTGAAGGTCTCTAAACTTATTTTACATAATTATANACACCAAAAATGTAAAATTGCTTATACGGAGTTGATTAAT